GGCACCGTAATGACTGACAGGAGCCAGATGCAGTCCCTTTATCAGGCATAACAATGTGACACATGGTCACATTTTTGGTTACATATACAAAATGCAGTTACATCGAGTAAATAGATACCAAACATGTCAAGTGTTAAAATTGCATGCACCTCAGCAATGGCGAAAAACTATGCTTCACAACATTGTCCATAGGTGACGTTTTAAAAGCCTGTACAGGTCATCAGTTTAGCGTTAACCATGAATTATGGCCCGAGAATTATTGCTCTCACTCCAACGTTCGCGGTGATACCTAACATGTTTGGTGCATACACATGAATGCCCCACACACGCATGTTTATTCTCATGCAAATGGTGGGGTTGGTTTTAATTTTTAAATATTTATTTTATTATTTTTTATGACTTAAATTTTTTCCCCCTTAACTTTATTACTATTACATAGGAGCTAACAAGCTCCTATGTGATATTGTATTGAGGTGACAGGTTCTCTTTATGGAAATATCTGGGATCTAATGACCCCTAATGTCTCCCCTGCACTCCAACACAGGTGATCAAGCACAGCATTGTGCTCCATCTCCCGTGCAGCCTAGCTTGTTACTGCTGAGACAGGAAACACTGTCAGTACAGCAGATCAGAACCGGCTTGCTCCCGCTCTCTATTCTGAATGAAGTGCAATGGTCCCGAGTCCCCCAAAGGAGAAGGGAACCACGAAAACGATGGCGGTTGGTGGTGTACATAATGTCCATCAGTGACCCGTCATGATGTCCCCTGTCAGTGCAGAAGCATTAGCAGGAGCACCGTTGCAAGTTCTCTACTAAGCCCCTGCTAATGCCCCCCAGAGCTTCTGCCCTGACAAGAGACAATATGACAAGGTATACTGATGGACATTATGTGGGCTTGGAATACATAATGTCCATCAATGTACCCTGTCCTAATGTCCCCTGTCAGTGCAGAAGCTGGGGGTGAGGGGGTCTGTGTGGGGAAGGGGGGCATTAGCAGGGGCACCGCTGCAGGTTCTTTACTAAGCCCCTGCTAATGCCCCGCAGAGCTTCTGCACTGACAGGAGACATTACGACAGGGGACACTAATGGATATTATGTGGGCTTGGAATACATAACGACCATCGTAATGTTGGCAACGCCTGCATGAATAAAAACCCACCGCATCAAATATATGGATACATACATACATACATACATACATACATATATATATACACACATACAGCCACTGGAAGGCAATATTACAATGGAAGGCAAATTACTTCTAGACTTATTCCACAGCAATTATGTCACATCCCTGCCCCCTCCAATCACAGAATGCCTTGTATACTCTGAGAAAAATACAAGGCATTTTGTGAATGGGCAAGTAGTAAGGAGGAGGGAGGATGCGAATTAAGCAGGTCACAGCTCCAGTAGCATTCCTCAATTCCTGTAGCGCCCAGAAGACCTGCATTATGTGCAGGAGGCGGTATGCTGCAAGGTTATTTTCAGCAACCCTCCACACATAACATACAGCTTTGTAATAATGCATTTACACACCCAGTTCATTGAGTAGATCATATTTTTCTGGAGTTTTTTCAAGAATACATTTTTATTCATTTCACATACAGTTCCATAAATTGCATAATAATAACAGTAGCGTCTACATTCAACAGCTATCTCATATCTAAAATTGCTTATTAATTACAGGTGGGAAAAAGATAAAAAAGACAAGCTAATGCTTATGATCAATTGCATAATAAACTAACCCATCACCATTGCCTATATGACTATAAGAACAAAAAACAAAAGGATATTATGTTATCTAAAATCCCATTCCATTCACAATCCAACACCTTTACTTCGCGAGCTGTCAATTCTTCCATTCGCATTATATGGTTCAGTTCTAATACCCATTCCCGGATCTCAGGGGTATTTGATTGTCTCCAATGTCTTGGTATTATCGCCCTTGCTGCTGCCAATATGGGCATGCCAGTCCCCCCTTAATACTTTTTACTGAGCCCGGAAGCATTAATAATATTGCCACTTCTGGGGTTTCGGGCAATTTTGAACCCATGACTCAAATATAATTTTCCAGTAGGGCTTTATTCCCTCACAAGTCCACCATATGTGTAGCATTGTGCCCTCTTCCATTCCACATCTCCAGCACATCTTGGTTGCTTGAGGGTCTATTTTATGTAGTTTCACTGGGCATCTATACCACCTGGTTACTATTTTAAAGTTATTCTCCTGTATTCCAACCGAAATACTCGATTTAAAAGTTAGGAGAAAAGCTTTATACCATTCTTCTTCTGCCAAAGTCTGTCCTATTTCTCGTTCCCACTCCCTAATATAATAAGGAGGGGGCGGGAACATTGATTCCAATAGTATATTATATATTCTTGACACCCTGGTTTATTTAAGATAATTTTTTCAATTGGAGTCAATTCCCTTTCTATAGAGCCCTGGGAACACAAGTAATTGTGAAAATATTCAAGCCATCTGCCTTGGCTCACCATTCCTGGTGGCAGTAGATCTCTTAGAGGGAGTACTCCCAATGCATTCACAGCTTGTAGCATTGGGAAATGGCTTGAATTCTTCCATCTCAAAAATCCTTTATTCCCCAGTCCCTGTGGGAAATCTGGGTTACCAAGGATGGGTGTCAAGGGTCCCGTATACATTGCACTTCTTGATCAGCGCATCTCATATATTTATTATCGAACCAGTTACGACAGACTGGTTTCCACCAATGCGGACGTTTGTCTGGAATTATCCATGGCAGTGATGTTAGGGGTATTGAAACCTCAGCTTGTTCTATAGTTACCCAGAGTTTGGGTCGCATAGGGCTGAACCAGTACATCAACCTGTTGAGGGTCGCTGCTTTATAGTATATCTCCATATGTGGCAGACTCCCTCCCCCTTCCGATCTTTTAACCAAAATGTCATACCTCAGACGCACCCCGGAAGTGCCCCAGGTATATTGTAACAGCATAGATCTTAATCTATGAAAATATAATCTAGGGATCTTTATAGGGGTCGTCTGAAATATGTAGAGGAATCTTGGGAGGATGTCCATCTTAAATAGTGACATCCTCCCTATCCAGGAGTGTTTACTCTTCCTCCAGGCCTCCATTCGTACTTGTGTCGTCTCCAGGAGGGGTATATAGTTAAGTTCATATAATTTTCTTACATCTGCAGATATTTTTATTCCCAGATAGTTTATCGCTTCTAGGGCCCAAACGAATGGAAAACTGGACCTCAAAATCTCCCGCTCACCCTGAAGGGAGAGTTACATCCAGGCATTGAGATTTGCTAGCATTAATTCGGTAATTGCCGACTCGCCCAAATTGTTCTATCTCCCCCAGGACCAGCGGAAATGCTATCCTAAGATTTGTGATGTATAATAGCAAGTCATCCGCAAAGATACTTAATTTGTGTGTTCTCCCCTTGATGTTCGCTCCCCTTATATCTGTATTCTGACGTATTGCCATAGCTAGGTGTTCCATAGCTATAATATACAGTGTGTATATATATATACACAATATACTTTTCTGGAGTTTGGCTGTAAATGATGCCAAATATGACAAAAACCAAGACCATGGCTGAAAGTTTTGAACATTCTTAAATGCAATACAATTTTACAATATAATAATCTTTTAATCAGATTTTTTTAGAATCTGTCATTTGCTTTAGTAACCAGAGTCTGGGAAAAACAGCTTTAAACCAAACATTAGTTAAATCTAACTGCATTCTGTTAAAAAAAAAAAAAAAACAGATCTAAAACTGCTTACAGTGCTTTGACCCTGTGTAGACGTAATAACAAACTATATTAAGACGCTGAACTATGCAACAAGAGACTTCTTGTCTTATTCTTGGTCAACGAAAATCCTGAGAGCTTCTAAACTCATCAACATGGATGTGGAATGAATAACATACTGGAAATACAAAATGCCACAAAATACCTCTTTGTAAGTGATGTATAGGAACTTACAAATACTCTTCCATGTTATCCTATCCAAATGAAAACCACTCAGTATGCCAACATTGACACTGATCTACTAACAAGCTGTTAGTGTTAAGGTTCAAATGTAATTCCACATATGGAACCATCAAGGCACACAGTCTAATCAAGTAAAAGGTTTTCAGAGTCCCCGTGCTCTTCTAGGGGATCCAGGGTCACGGCAAATGCATTCAGGATGAAGAGTGGGGGCAGATCGGGGAACGTTTCTTCCTCAACCTGATCTGTAACCAGTGAAGCAGGGAACAATTGTATAATTGTATGAAGAAGGGAAAAATGCTTCCTGCTTCATGGCTGACAGAAGCCCACATGAAGTGCCAGTTACACAGGAAATAATGCACATTTCTGTGCTTGATCATCTGTATTGGAGGGCAGGAGAGACATCAGGGGTCTAATAGACCACAGATGTCTCCATAAAAAGAGCCCGTCATAAAGAGTACCTGCTTGTTAGCTCTTGTGTGATAGCAATAAAAGTAAAAAAAAAGTGATAAAGTAAAAAGTAATAAAATAAATAAAAATTTAAAAAAAACTTAAAACCAACTCCACCAGCTGCATGCGAATGAACACATGTGCATAGGGAATGCGCGTGTACGTAAACAATGATCGTGCCACACGTTAGGTATCACCGCAAACGTTGGAGTAAGAGCAATAATTATAGGGCAATGAATCGCTGTTAATGCTGAACTGATGAGCAGGAAAGGCTTTTAAAGTGCCGTCTATGGACAATCTTGAGTACCATAGTTTATCACAATTGCGCAGGCGTGCACAATTTGGAAGCTTGACATGTTTGGTATTATTTACCACATGTAACCCCATCTTTTATATTTTACCAAAAATTGGGCATTAAATTGCGTTTGTCTGGAAAATGTTTTTTTTTTCCCCCTAAAAATATTGATTTTAAAAACATTTGCACAAACATTGTGCGACATAAAAATAATGCAGCTCCTTTTTTTTTTTTTATTGTGCAGGACCTCTGCTTTCAGAAAATATATACTTGTTTTGGGGTTTAAAGTAATTTTCTATCCAAAAATCCAGATTGTAGTGTGTATGTACATGAATTCAAATATTGCTCCGGTTCTAAGTTGGTTAAGAGACTTCCGTGGTCTGAGGAACATGTGTTAAATTCACCACTCCTCAAAGTGGACCTCCCCCTTCCTCCTGGAAGGTGCGAACACTATGTAAATGTATTTTGTAAAACCAATACACCTACATAGATCAACATGCCTTATAACTTCCATCTTGCCACATTTCAACTGGATCTGTTCTGCCTTTGTCCCACCATTCTTGATCCCTGTGCCACCTCACTGATGTCTGCGCCTGACCTCGCACATGTGCAGTATGAGATCTGGTGCATTCAGAGATTTATTTTAATGGTGTTTAATATCCTTCTGGAGTTTAGCGTTAATGCTATTCGTGTAAGTAAAATTAATAAGTTGCAGAAAAATTATGTTATCACATTTGCAGTAAAGATTTCCCCACTGCAGTACTACTTACAGTTCATACAGTATACCCGTAACACTTGAAGACATGGAAGTTGTAGCTTTGGATATTGCAGATTTTGTTTCACCAAGTTCAGAGATATGTTTAGTGCTCCACTTACTCGTGCCTTTACTCCAAACTTCTTATCTGTGGAAAGTAAACACCGAATGCCATTTATTATTGCGACCATTAGAACAGATGATACATCTATATTTCAAAGCAGTATATTATTGCAAAGAGGCATCGTTTTGAGTTTAGCATGAGAAGGTTGTACTGAGGGCCTTTTTACATTTGACTTTTACTTCACAAATATGTATTTTTAAGTAGAAGCCCAAGGATTCTACTATGTGGCTGGTGCACGTCCATGCACTGCAATTTACTGCGTTTTTAAAGGGAATAGAACAAGACATGCTCATTCTCACCTATGCATGTGTCACCACACACACTGCAACATGAGTATCGCACACAAAGATAACACGGTTGCTCACAGGAACAATCTGTGGACCTTGAGATCACTGGGACATTTTGTGTGAGAGCAACAGCAGACAGAGGGTTAATGGTGCTATTTTACACTGGTTTAAATTTAAGGGGTTTGCTGTGGTCTCCTTTGCAGCTACCTCTTTTTAAAACCCTGAATCGCATACTTTATAACTTTTTAGCATCAAACATCACAAAAGACAAATACATATAATGCTCTCCTAGAGTTAGTTCCAGCAGATCAGTCATCAAAACTGTACAAGTGCGACTGATCAGCAGACAGTAACTAATCCGTGTCAATCATTGCTGTTCTAAAGTTGTCGCTATCTGAATACAATGAATGTGTGTGGAATCGTAAACTAGTTCCATACCACAACAAGACTAAAAGTATTCCTGAAGACTGGATATAGTCTTAAAATATTTTCAAATTTGTGTTAGAAATTACTGGAAGTACAGCTATTAAAGGCAGTCTGTTTATATACTACTGGGACAGGTATTTTAGGGCAGCAGCTAACGATTATTTGCATAATCGATTAGTTGCCCGATTATTTTTTCAATGAATCGATCGGTTGCATTAAAAACATATTTCCCCCCTCCCTCTCTCCAAACCTCCCCCCCTTTCTTTCTCTCAGTCTCTCCCTCCTCAACCAACTAACCGATAATGAGATTAGTTGTTGCAGCTCTAAGGTATATACATATTTACTGTACGATAAATTTGAAGAACAGAAAAAAAATGACTGATGCGTCAAAATGACAGCTAATAATTGCTTTGTATTAGACAGCAGGAGCAGCTGTCAAAATGCAGCCTCTCCTGTGTAAAATGATACTTGCACATAGTCTGCAAGTATCACTGGCTAGATACTATTTAATTCACATGTGACCTATGATCTGCATATAGATACAAATAGCACTGCCCAGAGTATCAGCCCTGGTGATCTGAGACCTCACCCCTATTTAATCCATTATACAAAAACATTCACAACCTAGGTTGTAATTGGGGTTTTAAAGAGGTGTCAGAGGGTTTTCAATTTATATAAATTTATTACAAATCATTAAAATTCATACATAACAAAAGGATGATCTGCATATGACAAGACTTAATGAAACCTTACATGTTAAAATAGGATTTGTTTGTACTCATGATAAAAATCCTATTTTCTGATTTCATTGGAGGACACAGCTCCTCTTTAGAATGCTAGGTATAGGACCACCTGTCCATGCTGGTGGCCAACGTCCACACATCCACAAACATACATTCTGCTAACGGCAAAGCAGTGCAAACAAAAAAAAGATTTTACAAGGAGTATATTTTTAAAAAAATCATATTTTTTATTCATTGGAGGACACAGCACTACTTTAGATAATCAATAATTGTGATGCCACAACAGGGTGGACAAAAATAAAAAAACAAACTAGCCACCTGCAAAATGTTACATCCAAAACTGTAATCGGCTGATGGTCCGATCCACCTTGTAAAATTGGGTGAAAATATGAATTGACAACCAGTGGACATCTTACAGACCTGGGAAATTAATGCTTGAAGATGCATATATACACTTGGACAACAGATTGCCGAATCGATGGTGGTGCGAGGAGTAGGTTAGACACCAACAGGGGCCACCCCTGAGTTGTCTTTTGTTATTAATATGTATGTAGCGTCCTACTCCTGCAGGTGGAACTATACCTGGTGATCTAAAGCAGAGCTGTGAAGCACAGAGATTTTTTTTTTTCTTTATAAAACCCGTTCCTATTTTATACCCTTTTTGACCCTTTGTTAAGCCTACTCAGCCCTAATTAACTCCTTCCTCCATTTTTCTGCTAATTTTTCTTAATTTCTAATTCATTTTTACCTTTAATAATTTTTCACATTTCATTAGTATGTTATTTCAATGTCATAGCAAGAAAATGCCCAAAGATTTAAAAAATAAAGTAGTTTTACGATTATATTCTATAATGTGTCCTGTTTAAAATTACACGTAAATTATATTTCTGGTTCAAAGCATGGCAAAAGTTTTTTTCAAAAGTAAAAAAAGGCTTTTTTCAAATCCAACAGAAAAGAAAACATGTTTTCTTCATTTATTTGCATCTTTTTGTCTATAAATTCCACAGACAATTAGATCATTTTTGAGAAAAGAACTGTACGAAGTACTGTATGCATGACTTTGTTATCTTAAGTATTGACAAACTTATCACCAAATAAACAGATCCATAGTGAAAATTAAAAAATTGCTCTGGTTCATAAGTGCTATACAGATACGACAGCCCCTAGACATTAAATGGCAGCCCCCTAATCCAGCATTTTGGCTGGAGCAGGTGATGAACCAATGTGTGTGTACTCCAACAGAATTTCAAGTCAAAAACGGTTTATTGACTCGATTGCTATCACATCATATAGCACTATAGCACTACTGCTATATGATGTGATAGCAATCGAGTCAATAAACTGTTTTTGACTTGAAATTCTATTGGAGTACATTGGATTTTGGTCTATAGAAATTCTATTGGAGTGCGAGTGACTTTATACATACACTGAGCAACTATAGACAATGCTGCCTGATATGGAAGAATCTTGTCTGATGGCTACTGTTTTCCTCTTTTGGAGCTACAAAGTATCTATTTAACTTTGTAATATTCCCCAACATATCTTCAAAGTAGAATGCAAATAAAATAAAAATTTCAATATTCTATTAACACAGGACAAACCTTTTGGTCCTATCTTTGCAAGCAGACTATGGAGAAGTACTATTAAATCTTCATTGGGAGGAGAGTCCTTACTGGCACTGAGAAGCAACTGCAGCAAAATTTGTGTACCACCTTTAGATATCAGAACGTTTATTCGTCTTCCTCCACCTAGAAAACAAGAGTAAGAAACTTGATCTTCAAGTAAACGCTTGTAAAATTGTGTCATACAATATATAGCCAAATGTTTGTGGACACATGACCGGAACCACCTATATGAGCTTGTTTGACATCCAATTCCAAAACCATGCATGCATTCATATAGCTTTAGCTGCCCCTTTGTGGTTATAACAGCTTCCATTCTTCTGATAAGGCTTTTCACAAGATGCTGGAGTGTGTTTCTGGAAATTTGTGCTCATTCAACCAAAAGAGTATTTGTGAAGTCAGGTACTGATTTTGGATGAGTAGACCTGGCTCACAATTGGCATTCCAGTTAATTGCAAAGGTGTTCAATAGGGTTAAGGTCAGGGCTCTGTACAAGCCATGTTCTTCCACATTAAAGTGACACTAAACTGAGGAGTTAAATCTTAAAAATACATTCAAGTTCCTTAACTATTATTAAAAATGTATCTTACTTGTGTATCACTCAGCTGTAGATCCTCAAATCATCTCTGAATTGGTGCCGATACTGTCGTTTCTTCTGGAGGGTGGCTACTCTTACTCTCCATGGTACCCGTGTGGGTTTTAAAGTAGCCATCGATTCCAAGTTTGCTCCCGTGATGGACTACAATCTCACATTTAGTTTACTAATTTGTATTGAGATTGTAGTTCATCATGTGAGTAAGCTTTGAGTGGTGGCTACATGACAACACACACAGGGACCATATGGAACATGCTGGAACAGAAAAGTGGCTTCTCTAAACTGTGGCACAAGGTTAGACGTGAACAATTTGTAAACGGTATTTGTATGCTGTAGCATGAACTGTATTATTCCCTGTAAACATCTTAACTCAGTCGTATGGATTGGCGTCCACATACTCTTGGCCATTTTGTGTAGGTGTGATGATCAGGTGTTTACAAACTTTTGACAATATACTGTAAAGTTAAAGGGTAAGTAAACAGATCTATCCAAGTACTGCACAATATGAAGAGTGCACTGCTTACCTGTATAATTTCTGACCTGCTTCTTTCAACTCAGCATATTTCCTTCATGGCTACTCCCTATAGATTGTACTAGCAGAAGTACAAGCATAGGCATAATCATAGTGAGGAGCCTAGTCATAAACGGAGGACCAGCTCCTTTAATGAGGCCACAGAAGAAGAATACCCAGTGACAGTAATCCCTTAACATACAATTTTCAATGATTGGGTTTTCCTGTGAACTGTTCCTTCTCACTTATCACCCAATGTCGCCATGAAAAAAGGTCCAATGCTGGTTGTTACACAGTGGAAAAATGACATGTACAAAGTGTCATCATACAACCAATTAAAGCAGGTTTGTATATCAAAAAGGTTCCGTGCCGTGTGTACTGTATTGTATGGCTTGTAAGTCACTGCTGAGCTTTGAGTTGCTGTGAGCTCTGCTAAACTGTGTGCATGGCTAATTTGTTTTATACTGAACTCATGCTGAACGCATTCTGAACAAGAGCCAAGCTGCTGAAATGAAGTATTGAGTAAACCATATATAAAAAAAACTTGCTATAGTTGATTTGTATGTAATTCAGCATGGAATGTTCGGGAGAGAAAAAAAATAGGAAATGACAATACATTTTCGGTTTTTGGTTATTATTTTCTGCACTGTACAGTAGCCTAAAAAAATAGTTTCCTTTGGTAGGATAGCATTAGCTGGGTAATGAAATGAATGATGATGATGAATGTTTAGCTCTCTTTTTTACACCTAAAAATGTGAGATTATAAAACACACAGCAACAAAATAATCAACTTTGCAAATTACATTTACTCTTCTTCCCCTACGCATGAAAGGCTGTAGAAGTGTAAAATCATGGGGTGATGCTTTGTAGGTATTCTATTTGATATATAATATAATATAGATACACACACACATACATACATACACATATATATTTTGGGGGTGCACCAATGCCGATACCGAGTATTTTGGAGAGTACTCGCACAAATGCTCTGATACTTACCTCCAATACTGGAACTTCTGGCCAGAGAGAAATCTCCCTCTGGCCGGAAGTGCTAAGGGACCATGGAGTTGGCTTTCTTTCAAATCAGAAAGCCAGGCTGGAGGTTATGATACGCCTCCCGGCTTCCTGATTGGTCAGGAAACCAGGCTGCCTGTAAAGAAAAAAAAAAAGTCAGATTAATACTTACCCCATCTTTCGCATTGCTGGGTGTGATGTCCGCATCCTTCTAGGAGGTGCAAAGCAGGAAAAATCTCCCAAGACACTCCAGTCAATTGCATGATGATCTTCTCATAAGATCTTGGTTGCTCTGCATTTCTCAGGAGCTAGCTGGAAGGAATGTGATGTCATCCTTGCCTAGGCACTAGGGATGCACGGATACTGCTTTTTCGGTATCGAGTACCGATACTTTGCTTTCGGTACTCGTCGATACCGAGAACCGATACCGATGCTTCCACTGGCATGGATCCGGCTTCCCGGGCAATCTGATTGCCCGTGAAGCTGGCTCCATGTTGCCTGGTCGCCTTGATTGTGTTTGGACGGGAAACCAGCTTCCAAGCCAATCAGCATCGAGCCGGCTTCGCAACCAATCAAGACGCTGGGTTATAACCGGCCTCCCAGCTTCCTAACTGGCCGGGAAGCCGGCTCAATACCAATTGGCCAGGAAGCCGGATTTCCAGCCAATCAGGATGGAGCCAGTCATTACCTGCCACCTAGTTTCCTGATCGCACGTGAAGCTTGCTCCATGTTCCCCTACGGCTCTGCCGGTCAGAGGAATCTTCCTATGACCGGAAGTTCCGGTATCGGAGCATTTGGGCGAGTACGAGTACTAGCCCAAATACTCCGTATTGGCACCGATACTAGTATCGGCGCATCCCTACTAGGCAGAGTAGGCAGGTCCGTAGGTTAAGGTAACTATAAACCTAACTTTTTTCTTCACTTTTACATTTTGGAACTGCTAGGGAGGGGGCCTGCATTTTACTACAAGGTCCACTTTAATGGATACTGTACAGTGCATGCTTAACAGGACAAGGTAATAAACACAAAATGTTGGTAGGATAGCATTAGCAGTTATACTTTAAACATATATTTGTATTCAGGCATATGACAAGGCAGATGTGTCAGCTGTGTTTATTATGGTTGCCTGTTACCCAGTTTTTGCAGGAATGTAAGTAAATAATATTTTTCCCTATTTATATTTAACTAAAAAAAACTGCCTCGAGAATTTCTCCTAGAAGTTTTATTTCTGAGCTGTCAGTAAAACCATAATTCATCAGCAGAAGAAATGGCACTGGTGTACGAAATAGAATCTCATTGAAACGCCATATCTCTTCGCTTTTATAAACAATTTATATAGATAATATATACACAAATCGACTTACCAGCTGACATCAATTCATTGAGAATATTTACAATATTTAAGATTGTCTGGAGGTCCTTTGTATTCTGCAGATAGGAATACAGAAGGTTAGCATGGAGAATAAGCTGTACAGGATTCCCTCACTTTCAGCTATAAAGAGTGACTTGCTTACTAAGTTAAAGTACAGCACTTTCAAGGTTACAAATATTAGGGATTTAGTCCAAAAAAATAATTTGCAGATTGTTTATACACTGGTAAAAGTGATTAATCTTTATTTAACCTTACTTATTTAAGAAATGTATTAAAAGGTTAACCCTAAGGTTATTCCTATCAGGAATTCCATTGGCGAGATGTCTATGCTCGAGTTCCCATGCCTGCACATCTGCTTAGGCCATAACAACAGATTCCCAGTTGATTTTTATATTATGATGCAAACTGCACAAAAAAAGTGTGCGAACAGACAAAGAACAACTAAATGTGATCGCAAAGGACTCGCCTATATATGGAATATTTAAAAAAAAAAAAAATTTTAAAACATAAAGGCTCCTGTAAGGCAGTTTAAACAAGTCCCCAAACCAGCTACTATGTGCACGAACATCAAAGTAAATAAATAAAATGTAAAAAAAAGTAAGGATGCACCGATACTGGGCATTTTCCCCGAGTACGAGTAATGCCCCAATACTGGTACTTTAATTATTTTAATAGATTCGGCTGCCGTGAGGTCCTGCACTTGCTGTGGACCTCGCAGAAGCCTTGTGGGGACCTCGTGGCACCTTTTTACAGCGCCGGCCCAGCCTCACATCTCCTCCTCCTCCACCTTTCCGCCGCCTGCACAGCCATGGTTAGACCCGACACAGCACTGGGGTGTCGTGCACCCGCTCGTAGAGCCCTAGTGAGACCAGCACAGAGTCCTGGTGAGACCCCACCCCCACCACACTAGTAAGACCCTGCCTGCGCCCAGCCCTGGTGAGACCTGCCCTGTCCCGCGCTCAGCCTGGACGAGACCCTGCCCATGCGCAGCCTGGTGAGAAACAGAGTATATAGCTTCATATTATTCTGCATTGCTGTATAATGTATTGGTAAGATTTGTAGTCCTATATAGCTGTTGGTATTCTGCATTGCTGTATAATGTATTCATGGCATTTGTAGTCCCTCTACAGCTTAGAGTCAGTGGAAGAACTACCAGGGTCACAGCGGTTGCAGCTGCGTTCAGGCCGTGGCACTCCACCACTGTCCTGTCTGTATGTTTGGAAAAACTGTCACATGAAGAAAAAAAAGGCATCAGTAATTGGTATTGATGAGTAAAGTACCGGTACTCGTTCTTGAAAAAATGGTATTGGTGCATCCCTAAAAAAAAAAAAAAAAAAAAAAAAAATTAAAAAAAAAAAAAAAAAAAATACTAAAAACCACCTCCCCTGACTGAGCTAACTTTTGCATCTCATACAATCCCCCTCCCAGACATTGCAGGTCACAGTGGGAGAGTAGTTTAGGGCCAGTTCACACCATATCCAGTGCGTTCCGGCAAAGTTTGTGCCTGGAACGCACTTGATCGCATAAACCAAGCCTCCCGTGTTCTGGAGTGGGAGGAGGCGTGGTGGTGCCATTCATGCCACTGGCACCGCAGACATGCCTACCGCCCACAGTGCGATCCCCCGCACTGGAATATGTTGTACAGCAATGCCCTGTGTTCCAGTGCGGTGCAATCTCAAAAAATTGTGCATGCAGGTGTTATTCCAATTTAGCTGCAGAAGTGGAAATATGCTTTAAGGACCAGTTCACACCATATCCATTGCGTTATGGCATAGTTCGTGCCCGGGAACACACTGGATCGCATAAACCAAGCCTCCCGCGTTTGGGGGTAGGAGGGGCATGGTGGTGCAGTTTATTTCAAAAGAACAGCAGACACGCCTCCTGTCCACACCTCCACGCATGGAACGCACTGGATATGGTGTGAATCAGCCCTTAAAATGTAATTAGAATAACACCTACTTTGTTTGTTACATGTTCCACTCATATTGCATGACTTAAAAATAAAAAATATGCTGTTATATTTTTAAGTGTGTTTTACTTGCTTAAAATCCCACATAGTTTCCCCCTACAAGAACTGTATGTTAATGAGGAGAAGCTCAGATTGACCCTCTAGTTTCACTTTCAAACTGCTCAACGTAGCCTGGAATCTGCACCAGGCCTTCACCAAAATAATAATATCTCAACGGTAAGAAATTTATTTTTTAAAATATTTTTGGTATGCTTTGTGAATAGAAACCAATAACAAACATATAGTGGGGTTTTCTCAAATTAAACTGCAAAAGTGGAAACACACTCCAAGCAACAGAAGCAGAGCTGTCAGTCCAGAAAACAGTGGGCAGGACTAGGTGTAGCTGATTGACAAGTTGCAGGCTGTGTATGAGGCCTACATGAGCGTGGAAACTCTGCTCTGAATTCAGGAGCAGTGCAGCATTGTTGCCACGCCATCACAGGAAGCTGCATTAGGTGGACTTCACTGGCAGGTATTTGTTGGACTTTGTGCGGGGACAAAAAAAAAAAGAAAAACGTTAAGTGCTGATTAATGTCTAAAGCCCAAACTTTTTTTTTGGACAGAGTCGGCTTGGAAGCATACTATAATAAATATTTTTGGTTAAATAAATAAAACTGACCACTAATAATCACAAAATTAGAATAAAAGCATGCAAAAAGCATGAGCTCTTACCTCCAGTGTAAACAGTATCACTTCTACACCAGTGGAACCTTTGGCTGTCATCTCCTTCCTTGTTTTTTCTGCATGCAGAAGAAATGGGAAGCATATATTTTTACTTTTATACACTCATCAAAATCATAACCATTATGTATGCCACCCAATACAACATGAATCTGGTTAAAATGAACGGATTGGTAATGCTTTGTTTGAGCCTCATGCAGAATCCACTATTGGAGGACATGAAGTGAGACCCAGGAGGGAGGTTGCTCCATTAAACTAGTATGTTTTTAAAAGAGAACTATGGCACAACCTTTTTTGGTGTTAGTTCTCTTTTGGGTCACAGGAGGACCCAAAACTACTGCCTGCTATATGCCGACAGCAAAGGGCCGCGCTGCAGCCGGGAAAAATCCCAACAATATTGTCGGGATCCACCACTCTACCTGATTGACAGCTGACTCTGCCTCTCTAGAGCCCCCCGCCTTCCCTGTCTGTCCCCCCAGTCAGTGCTGGAGGAACAGAGAGAAGTGCAAGGAAACTCTGCAGGGAACGGTGACGGACAATCACTGCCCTCTGCAGGGAGAATATCGTAAAATCAGTGCAGAGCGGTATGTGATTACAGGTGAAACTCGAATAATTAGAATACCGTGCAAAGTTCATTTATTTCACTAATGCAACTTAAAAGGTGAAACTGATATATGAAATAGACTCATTACATGCAAAGCAAGCTAGTTCAAGCCGTGATTTGTCAGAATTGTGATGATTATGGCTTACAGCTCATGAAAACCCCAAATCCACAACCTCAAAAAAGTAGATTATTACATGCAATCAATAAAACAAGGATTGTACATAGAACAATATCGGACCTCTGAAAAGTACAAGCATGCATATGTACTCAGTACTTGGTTTGGGCCCCTTTTGCAGCAATTACTGCAATTACTTTTGCACAATATTCTAATTATTCGAGTTTCACCTGTACTCAGTTCTTGATCTATAGAGCCGATGTGTGACAGCTGCAGTGTCACACATCGGCTATAACTGTGGGGATGAGTGCATTTCACTCTCCCCATAGTTCTCCTTTAAGGGCTGAAACAGTTAGGTCTAGCTCAAACATAGTAATGGGGACCAATGAACATAAAGTTAATTTTTGACTTGAAGAAAATCTGTCACTTACCCATTTAAAGCAAAGTGACAGGTTCTGTCGACAGCACACCTCTTACTCCTGTTGATACCCTTCCAACACTACCCCATCACTGTATTCAACTTCCAGAGCCCTCAGAGCAGGCCCTGTGTTCGGAGTCAGTGCTAAAACAGGCCTA